ACACATTTTACAGAGGAGGAAACTGGGATTTTGTGGCGATTAAGTTATTTGTTCAAAGACACTCAGCCAGTAAGTCACCTGCAAGAATAAATATGACAACTAATACAACCTAGAAGTACCCAACAGGCTATTATGTTCGACTATCAATTATTAAATTATTAAGTCAATTAGGGAATTGATGTTCAGTTAGAAAATAAAAAAAACATAAGGGTCACATAAACCAGAGACTTCATCAACCTGAAACCAGAAGAACTAGATGGTGCCCAGCTACCACAATGACTGCCCTGACAGGAACACAAAAGAGAGTCCCTGACGGAGCAGGAGAAAGGTAGGATGCAGAACTTAAATTCTAGTAAAAAGACCACACTTAATGGTTTGACTCAAACTGGAGTGATCCCAGAAGATACGGTTCCCAGACTCCATTAGCCCAAAACTAAAACCATTCCCAAGGCCAAAACTCTTCAGACAAAGATTAGACTGGACATGGGACATAAAATGATACTCGTGAAGAGTATGCTTCTTAGCTCAAGTAGATACATGAGACTAAATGGGCAGCTCCTGTCCAGAGGTGAGATGAGAAGGCAGAAAGATCAGGAGCTGGTTGAAGGGCCACAGGAAATCTGGGGTGGAAAGGAGGAGTATGCTGTCACAGTATAGGGAGAGTAAGTAGGGTCACATAACAATGTATGTTTACATTTTTATATGAGAGACTAACCTGAATTGTAAACTTTCACTTAAAGCACAACTAACAAAAAAAGAAAATAAAAGAAAAAAAAAACCAATGTTTTTTCTTGGAAAGGAACTCATTTTTGATTCAAAGAAACTCCTAAATTTTATTCATAGAATAACTGTAACCCCCTTCAAATTAAGTACAGTTGGCCCAGCATATCCACAGGTTTTGTGTCTGCTGATTGAACCAACTGCGGACCGAAAATATTCGGGGGGGATAAAAATAGGCTTTTTTTCTTGTCATTATTCCCTAAACAATACAGTGTAACAACTATTTATATAGCATTTACATTGTATTAGATACTATAAGTAATCTAGAGATGATTTACAATACACAGGAGGATGTGCGTAGGTTATATAACAAATACTACACCATCTTATATAATGGACTTGGGCATCTGTGGATTTTGGTATCTGCAGAGGATCCTGGAACCAATCCCCCATGGATACTGAGGGATGACTATGTAATTTTTGGATTAAAAAGATACAACAACAATAGCAAATGACTATGAATATATTAACCCAATAACATGAAGCTGAAACTTCAGAAAAATTTATTCCAAACAAAAAATATTCAAGGCTCCAGCTAGCTCAGCACCCTCCTCTCTCTGCTCCTGAACTGACACTGCCTGTCAGGTTACGAGCCCTCTCTCCCTCCCTCCAGGTCCTCAGCAGCGCCCATCCTGTCCCTCCTGGAGTTGAACTTTTTTCCATTGCCTTCGAGTGGTGCCAGTCTAGTAGAGTATAAACTCCTTGATAGGCAAGACTAAATCTTACTCGGCTCTGTACTCTCCCTGATGCCTAATACTCCATGTTAGGCAAACTGGACACTCAATCAACACTGGGAGAAAAATGTCTTCTTGTTCTGGTAAAGTCTGATGACTTCAACATGGTCATCAAGAATCAACGCACTTGGTGCTACACTAATAAGAAACACCACCAGTCTTGGATCTGCCCGTGCTGGCTCCCCTTGAGGCAGGTTAACAGTGTGAGGTGGGTGAAAACTGGGGGGGCTGTCTGTAACAGAGGAATATGCCTTTCCCTCTGACAAGCCAAATGTTTTTTTACCCCTCAGAACAAAGATCTAAGCAACCTTCCTTTTTACACATTCAGTTTCTAGAAGTGTTATCTCTACAGAGTGTTAATCTGTTTCTTCAGTTGTTTAATAATTTGTCCAGTGATGTAGCTAGATAAAAGAAGCCCTGGTGGCGCAATGGTTAAGTGCTCAGCTGCTAACCAAAAGTTTGGCAGTTTGAACTCACCCAGCAGCTCCACAGGAGAAAGACCTGGCAATCTGTTTTTGTAAAGATTATAGCCAGGAAAACCCTATGCGACAGTTCTACTCTGTCACATGGGGTCGCTGTGAGTGGCAATCAACTAGACGGCACCCAACAACAACAACATAGCTAGACAAGTGACTGAATCTGGAGTGGCTCCTCTGGGCTGACATTTCAAACAAAGTAAATACCCAATATGTCCTTCTGGGCCCGGAAGCCCAGGCCCAGCATTCACCTGAGGACCCACACATGGGCTGGTAGAGTCCCTCTTTGCACCCAGAGGACCTCGGCTGCAGCTACCTACCCCCACCCCCACTCTGGCCTTAAGTCACTTCAAATTTTCAAGCAGAAGATTCTGGTTGGTGGGTGTCAGTGACCCTGACAATCTTCTCCACCAGGTCTCAGCCTCCGGGTTCTCACAGGAGCCCTACACAAATTTCCAGGATAGTCCTCAGAGAGAAAACCAACAGGAGCCCCCAGGGCAGGAGACTGCAAGCAGATTCACCTTTCCAGCCTCCCCAGAAATTCACACTGCAGTAAAGACTCTCCTGTTGTGGAAGAAACCAACTGGCAAAGGTGGGACAAGAAACAAACACAACAGTCTTCCCATTGAGAAGGTTCCCCTTCTCAGGGGATGACAATGTCTTCAAAATGTGCCCTGCAATGTCCCAAAGGGCATTTACCAAGAAGGCTGCTTCCTCCTCAGGCCTCTTCTATTTTTTTGGAATTGTTGTTGTTGTGTGCCATCGAGTTGACACCAACTTGCAGCAACCCTGTAAGACAGAGAAGAACTGCCCACGTAGGGTTTCCTAGGCTGTAACCTTTATGGGAGCAGATTGCCAGGTCTTCTCTTCCATGAAGCTGCTGGGTGGGTTCAAACCACCTAACAACAACAACAAAAATGCCAATGGTGGGACACAAGTCAGTTTAGTTCGATCAACATTTATCAACCATGTGCTGGGCACTGGGTGGCCGAAGGGGAGCATGCCACCTCCTTGACTGACACTTGCCTTTAGCAGCTGACAAAGAGTCTGGGCTCTAGAGGAACATCTAGGAATCCAGCTCTCTGCTTAATCTTTTCACGGTATTCATTGTACAACATGTCTCATATCGTTGTTAGTTTGCAGTCTGTCGCTTTACCTGCCCAGATGGATGGACTCACCCTTCTTTTTTAGATTTTCTATGGAAACCTCTGGAGTCCCTGAGTGGTACAAAGAGTTAATGCACTCAGCTACTAACTGAAAGGTTGGAGGTTCGAGTCTACCCAGAGGCACTTTGGAAGAAAGGCCTGGTGATCTACTTCTAAAACATCAGCCACTGAAAACCCTATGGAGCACAGACCTACTCTAACACAAGGGGGTCACCATGAGTCAAAATGACTCAGTGGCAACTGATCTTTTTATGGAAACCCCAGGACATAGAGTGACCAAAGATTATTCCTGTACCAAGACAAGAGTAGAAAGAATACAGGACAGCATATGATAGCCAGTTACTGGAATGATACTCAGAGCAGCTCACAAGGCTGCATTAAAGGGGTCTGCCCAAGGAAATGGAGTCAAGGAAATTCCCACAGCTAAACTCTCAAGCAGTCTGAGAGAAAGATGGCAATTAGAAGGAGGAAGTTCCATCACTTGATCCTTTCCTTTCTGTCTTTACTCGTGACAAGGTTGGACACGAAAAACAGCGGCCCCCCAGCTGCCCAGAAGGCACAATCCCCCAGTATGTGCTACTCTGATCTGCATTTTTGGTGTGATGAAACCTAAGACCCACACTTAAGCGCAAAACGGGCAGAGAGGGTAAGTAGTGGGTCTAAGATGTGAAACCCGTAGGGCAGTCAACCTCTAGAGCCCTTTCTTTCCACTGTGCTACCAGCCTTTCTCTCAAAATATTTATACTGAAAACAGAGGGTTAATGATTTGTTTTCCAAAATGATTCACAACGGCACACCCTTAAAGAAGCAAACTGCTTTAAAACATTTAAAATGAGCCCACTTTTAAAACTTCAACTGACACATGATTTTTCAGGAATATTATACTGTAAAAGTTAGCAGCATCTCTCCCAGCAGCAGCTGTTCTTCCAAGCCTGTTCCTCTGTCCTACATGGAAAAAATCTCAAGGCCTGGGAGCAGAGGCTGAAACTCCGGCCTTCTACAATGTGCCCACATTGGGCAGAGGGTGCAGGACGCTTGGGTGAGAGCTAGGCACCAGGGCATGAAAACCAGTGCAGGCAAAACCGACAGAAGTTCCCTGGAAGCAACTCCCACATCTGCTCGACCGTCTGCAAACCCTCGTTTCTTCTTATTTCTTAATACGCCTTTGATAGGACTAAAGGGAACAAGGGACCTAGAAAACAGACCAGGAAAATGCTGCCCCAGCAACGCTAAACACTGTCTGTCTAATATATACTTACAAGAAAAAAACAGGAGCACATAAAGAGTACATTTCCGGGGCCCCCTAAAGCATATTTCAAGAAACATACAGACCCTTTAAAAAGCACTATCAGACTAAATGTCGAGCTTATGAGAAATATCGGTACATTGCTGTCCTCAGATGCGTGCACCCTTCAGACACTCTATCTGTCCTACCACTTGGGAAAGCAGGTCCTCTAAGGCCCCTCGCCCTCACAGTGTCCTCAGGCTCACTGGTCCCTATGGACTTCTAAAGGACGTGCTATCAGACTTGGGGACAGAGCTCAGGTGTCAGGGGCTGGGGGTCTCAAAGATCTTACATTCCCATATACCTGGCCTCACACGCTATACACATTTGGAATAAGCTTGTGCTTTTTTTTTTTCAAACAACCTACGAATTCTCGCATTACCACAGCCCATGTAGTGGTACACAGTATGTGAGAAGGGGACTGGGAACAAACAAGGCAATGGAATTATTTGCGGTACTTTTGTCTGATAAAAATGAAATGCTTTACAAGATGTCTTCTGAATATGTACTAAAATAACAAGACCCCTTCAAACAGGTCTTGACAGTAACCCCACCTCACCTCTGGAGTGTTCTTCTTGAACTCTCGGCTCTGCTCGATAAGCCGCTTTCTAGACTGCTCGCTCTCATCTTGCCGGTTAGCCAATACTGTCGCGGTGGCATCCAGTTCTCTCTGTCAAGAGAAACAGAAACAAAAAACAAGATTGTAATTGCACTTTGGACCAGAGAGGACCACATCTGACCAGGACACTGGGGATATACCCCCATGGCTCCAGAGATTATCAACTCATTGGCAGAGGAGGGGCTGGGTTGAGCAGAAAGGGAGATTAACAATACCATGTTGTGTTTCCAATGAATTCCACATGGGCTGGTTTGAGAAAGCCAAACTTGCTTAACTTGATGTGCTACCCTCAGACACACTTCAACGTGCATTTCACAATGACTATGTTTCTATAATAAAACAAGCAGATGCATTTTTCTTTGCTAAAACCACAGTCAGGCCAATGCCCAGATGACAGCCCTCTGGGAGTGGCCCCGTTTCGGTACATAACAAGTTGCTTCTTCTTGCCATATTGCTTGCTCATATTGCTGTTTAACTCTGTGCTTCTGATCGGGGCATTCTGTTTGTCCTTCAGCAGTGTGAGCCTGGAATCTTTTGTAGTCATACTTGATTTGCTTTCATCAAATAAATATTTATTGTGAGTTTACTATACGACAGGCATCATGTTAACAACCATTGCGGTCAAGTCGATTCTGACTCATAACATCAAGTTAGGTACCATTAAAATTAACCTAGTATTTATTTTCAAGAAAACCTTTTGAAGGCAAATTCCAAGAATAACTAATTATTTCCAGTCTCTTTGAAGTTTCAGAAATGTGGCACCTGCAAACGGTAGTTACTCTCAAACTGTTAAAACTCTTAGAACCACCAGGGGTAGATTCCAAGTAAGAGGGCCTGTCAAGAACTGAGGGCTCTGGGCTCTGCTCCACGTGACAAACTGACACTCAGAGAACCAGTGCCCTGGCCTTGGAAATTCTGGGAGGAGTTGCCAAGGGGATCTGTTTCAAACAAGCCGGAAGCAGATGGGCCCAGGATGGTGCTCCGGGCAAACAGCAGGAGCGCAAGGACACATTTCTGTAGGCACCAAAAGGCTCCCTCTCATGCTGAGTGGCTTCAGTTACTGAAGACACACATGGGCACATTCTGTTTAGTATTAAAGCCGGCTGCTTCACGTGGTTCTCAGTGGCGTGCACTATCCTCCTGGGGCTGAGCAGAGCAAGGACCAAATCAAAGGCCAAAAGGCGAGGAAAATCAAAGATTAAGAGCCTTTCACGTAAATCAAGGAGGCACGTTAGAGTCTTTCTCCCCCCACCTCATAAAGTTCCACCTGCTTTCCTTTTTGGCAGAAATACCTGAACTCGTCTGCAGGCCCTCCTGTCGAACGGCTTCACTCGTACCACTATGGGGTGGGCCACTGCCACTCGAGAAAGAAGCCAGACAAGATGACAAAGTGCTGAAGCAAACAACCAGAGTGCTGCTGCCACGCTGGGAATCTTAGACAGCTTAAAAAAGGGGGCGAGGAAAAAAAAGAAAGAGGAGAGGGGGAGAGAAACCCACCACACCACACTTTCCCCTTTATTATTTCTGGCATTAAAGCAAATCTTGGGAAAACAAGTCCAAAAGAATAATGTGGGCTAGAATTCAAGAACAGATGTCAAAGCTATTGCAGAAAAGAGGGAAACACTGAACATTTTGATAGACCACATTTGAAACACATCCCAGTCAAGTGAAGGCAGGGAAAAAAGAGCAACCGAAACCAATGTGGCAAAGTGGGGATGGAGATGGAGAAGAGAGAGCAATCACAGATAAGCAGAAGGCTTTTCAAAAATATAAACAATCTGGTGAGGAGGACTTAGACGTCTATATTTAAGCAGCAGCAGAAGAAGTTATAAAAGGAGACTTCAAGAAGAAAAAAAGCCAATACTGAAATATGACATAAAAAAAAAAGTTGATGTTTCGTTCCAATCACACATAGACGCAGAAAACTTAAGAGAAAAACAAGAGAGCACTGACTGCTTTCAACGAGGCCTACTTCCTCCACTGAATGGAAGGCTGACTTCTGCCACCCGAGCAAGGCAAAGGACGCTGGGGGAGCAAAGGTGACTTCGGGGTCCCAGCCTCAACCCTGAAGGCTTGCCATCCAGTGGGAAGAGCTCAGTGAGTGGGAAAACGCTGAGGAGGTGGTGGGAGAACACATAGTCTATATAACCCTCTGTTTGCCTCAGTTTCCCACCTGTCCCCTCACTCCGAGTCCCTCACCATCAGAAAGCCTGACTGAAGAGGGCTGAGCCTGAAACAGGTCCCTTGGTGGGAAGCACCCACCTTTATCACAGGGCTACAGAGCCAGCGTCCCTTAGGGAACCCATTGCTGACGGTCGGGGGCTCCATAGGAGCCCACCACACTGCTCTGCCCACACTTGCAGACATACACGGGTTGACATGAGAAACCAACAGGGGTCTCCAAATGTAATAGCGGGCTGCCATCCACCACAACAGAAACAGATTGGCACAGCAAGGAGGAGAGACTGCGCTCCCACGGCCACAGCCCCAACCTTTTGGTTGGTCAGATTTAAGGCTCACCATCTTTCACTTTAAATCTTTAAAAATACACCACCAAATCCTTTTGAAGGACATGGAGGAGTTCTCATGCTGTAGAGACAACTCAAGAGGAGGAGATGGGTATTAAGTGTAAGCCTAAGACTGTTTCATTATCTACCAAGTCTGCCTATACTCAAGGTGTCAAATATAACAACACGTTAACAACGGAATTTAACGTGCTTAGGGGAAGTGAAGGCGGGGACCTAAAATTCAGAGCCCTTAGCCCGAGTCATCGGTCACATGTAAAAAGGAGCATGTAGGTATCCCCACATCTGAAAGGCATTAAAAACTCACACAAAAGAACTGGAGCCAACCTAAGTGTCCAGCAATAGTATACTGGCAGATCCATCATGGATTGTTCTGCATTAGTTAAAAAAATATAGTCCTACACTGTCACTGTATGGGGAGGGATGATCTTCAAAATCTATTTAAGCAAAGGAAGCAAAGTGCTGAAGATGACAGCATCATTTAAAAGAATATCTATACCTATGCTTGCACATGCTTTGATAATCTCTAGAAAAATACAAAGGAAACTTGTAAATGTGCTTGACTCTGAGGAGGGATCTAGTGTGGAGGGGGGCTTAAAAACTGAAAAACCAAGCCCGTTGCTATCGAGTGGATTCTGACTCATAGCGACCCCACAGGACAGAGTAGAACTGTCCCACATGGTTTCCGAGGAGCAGATGGTAGATTCGAGCTGCTGACCTTTTGGTTCACAGCCGAGTGATTAACCACTCTGCCACCAGGGCTCGGGGGCAGGGGGGGTGTTACTCTTCAGTATATATCTTTTCACTATTTTACCATGCGCATGTATCATCTATTTGGCCAAACTGCAATATTTATTAATCTTAAAAATCCTGCTAATGTGAAAAAATATACACACATAAAATTATACATTTTATCTAGTATGCCAAACATATACTGTATAACATACTACCAGCCTCTGCTTTCAAAGTCTGCATGTCCACCTGCCCAGAGGGTAGGGCCTGGAACAGATGACCTCATGAATCACTGGTGATTCAAAAAGTGAACCTAGCACGTCCTTTGTCAAAACAACAGCTGTTTCTTGCACAATGTGCAGCCCAATGACCAGTCGCACGGCTTGCTGAGGCCAAGGCAGTCACAGAAAACACCCCTCAGCCCAGTCAGAACTCTCCCTGGAGGGGCATCTGCTTGGAACTGCTGAGAATTATTCTCCCCCTGGAGACACCTGAGGGCCCAGGCCCAGGTAACAGGAAGTCAGCAGTGCTGGCAGCAAGCCAAAAGACTCTGAATCCCACACTTCCAACTAGGCCAAAAGAGTCAGGGCTTTTACTGAGAAAAAGTCTTACATGGACAGGACCTTAAATGCAGAAATAGACTTTTTTTTTTCTTTAATCATCGGAAGGACCTCTGGCTTTGGAACCACATGGGCCTGGGTTCCAGCCCCCTCGGCCTCTCAGCAGCCATGTGGCCCAGCAAACCTCACAGAGGAGCCAGTGAAATACACACTTAAACTTGCTGAGCTTCCTCTCGCCCATCCTGAGTGTGAGGACAATGCGTTCGGCCACGCTGACTGAGAGCTACGGGGTAAACTCAACACATGGGTGTTGCTGTCTTATCCCTGCCAAGGCTGTTCCACACACGTTAGGACCAAGCTCATTAAGACCAAGCTCCTGCCCTTCCTCAGGCAAGCTTCTGCAGCCGAAGCAGTCAGGATCGGCACCAGCAGGAGCAGACCCGGCTCCCGGAGCACAAGCCCATCACCAAGTCATGCAGGAGTGCCTGGTCCCTCATCTCGGAAGGGAAGGGCTATGTGCATGCAGGCAAGCCTCACTCTATGAAACGGGTGTACTTCTGGAAGCTGGGTACAATTGGAACCCTGTTTCTTTACTGACTAAAATTTCTTACATGCTTTTTCTCCATTTCTGACAGATCTTCAAAGGGCGAAGCTCCGAACATTTTCAGCTTCTGTGTGTTTGGACTCCAGTCTCTCAGTCAAGTATGAATGATTTATTAAAAACAAAAACTTTTTTAAACACACGAGGTCGGTAGAAAAAAATTTCCCCAAATAAAACAACAATAATGTCAAGGATCTAGTTTGCAACTGCTCACTTTTAAGGTCTATGTGTGTATAGATATAGGTATCAGTTGTTTGTCTGAAATGCAGGGGAGGTACCTGCAGTGCTGCTACCATTTTCGCTGAGGCTCTCCTCTTGAAGGCCCAGGCCAGGTCCCCCAGTGCTATCTGCACATGCTCACACAGGCTAGGCTCTCAGATAGGGTGGGCTCCTTCTGGAGCTGTGAGGGACACCTCTCCCGCCAGCACCCTGGGCTGGCAGGGAAAACACACCCGGCCAATGGCATCAGCAATGCAAGTAAAGTATTTTCTCTTCTAATTATCTCTAACTTTAATCCGACGAGTTAGTTCGTCTGATGTATCCTTAGGGATTATCTGCCAAATTATTCAAACAGCAAATCGTATACAAGAATTTAAAATGGCTTTATTCTTAGTGAATATCAAGATCACTTGT